TTGTCCTTGCCCAACTCCCTGCACAGCATGGTATAGCATAGTCCTAAAGAAGCAGCCCAATTACTTACTCCCTCTCTTGGGATGCAGGGAAGAGAGTGGGACTTGATTCCAATATTCTGGCCTGTCTGTGGACTGCCCACGTGACTGGTTTCTATTTTGCCTAAAGTAGGGATCTAAGAGGGGATGGTGGCATAGTTTGGATCTCAGACTGGCATAAGCCACAGAAGGCAGTGGTCGATGCCATGGCACCTGATGCTGTACTTTCCCTATTGTATGTTCTTGGAACCTTTCCCAGAAATCCAGTTGATCGTAGCTACTTGGGATTTTTTCTTGCCTTTCTGTTTTTAATACCAATATCATGCTGTTTTCATTATAGTAGCTTTATATTTTGTAGTCAAAAAGTGATGCCTCCAGCTTAATTTTTTGCTCAAGATTGCTTTGGCTGTTCGGAGTAGTTTCTAGTTTCCTACAAATTTTAGTATTTTTTTCTATCCCTATGAAAAAAGACATTGGAATTTGGTTAGTAGGTATATTTTAACAATATTAATTCTTCCAGTTTATTAACATGGGATTTTTTTTTACATTTATTTGTGTCTTTTTCAATGTTTTATGGTTTTCAGTGTACAGTTCTTCACCTCCTTGCTTAAATTTATTCCTACTTTTTTTTTTTAATGCTTTTGGAAGTGGGATTGTTTTCTTAATTCTTTGAGTAGTTAGGGTACAAAAATGCTACTCATTTTAGTGTGTCGATTTTATAATCTAAAACTTTACTGACTTTAGCAGTTCTAACAGTTGTTGGGGAGGGGTAGTTTTTATGGTTTTTCTATATATAAGATTATGCCAGCATCAGACAGTTTCACTTCCTTTTTTTTTTTTCCCTTGCCTAATTGCTCTGTCTGAAACTTCCAAAACTATGTTGAACAAAAGTGGTGAGACTGGGCATTCTTGTCTTGTTTTTGGTCTTAGAGGAAAAACATTCCATCTTTGACTGTTGAGTATGGTGTTAGCTGTGGGCTGTAACAGTACTGTATTTTTTTTTTTT